CTCTTACGAGGCAGAAACAAGACTGTGGACAAAGTACCAAAATAAAGGTACTCCAAAAGGAGGCACAAACGGGGATCAAGGTGGAAGACAAGGATTACTATGAGGTTACCCACTGGCCCCAGACAAGGAAAGACCAGACTATTTAAACACAAGGGAAGGGAACCCCAGGGGAACCAATCAGGGAAGACAAGCAGACATGTGACACACAGGAAGGTGAAAGAGACCTGAAACAAGGGGATTCACCTTTCAAAATAAAACAGGAAATGACAAAACAACCATGGAGACAGAACAAAAACAGCCAAAATTCCCCCACACGGGACATGCACCTGCGTTTCCCCTCTCTGACCAGCGGTCTGTGGCTAGAGCGTCCACAGCACAGCAAACTGGGCTTTCAAAGTAAAACTAAAGGAAGACAGAAAGAAACCCAGGCACAAACAGCACGAGGCAGGAAGGTTTTCGGCCCGTTTGTCTTTCTTTTTTCCTGGTTGGATCGAGGCCTGAAAAGGCCCTCTGATAGGCTCCGTGATTTCACCCCTGTCTGCCTTAAACATCAGTTTTTTTCTTGAACATTGCAGCTATAACTGGCTGGACGTGCCTGCATTTATAATTATTTTGACTAGTAACTGTAATGGCCTCTGTGTGGTGTTTATATGAGCTGCGGATTGGATGTTGCCTTTATATATACATGCGTTACTACGAGCTGTTTAAGGACTGTTTGGGTCCCAGGAAGCAACTACAAAGTTTGAGCCCAACAGGGGACCTGTTTCCTCCTTTTTTAAACCAACAACATCAATTTAAAAATAGTGAAATTAATCTTGCAAAAAGTTAATTAAACGCTATGCATAATATTATGTTAAAATAGTGGATGTTAAATAGGTTTGTACAATAAGTCCAAACAAGTTTAACCAAAAAATATTTATTTCTCACTATTATGAAGGGTTAGGGTTAGGGTTTCGGTTAGGGTTAGGGTCAGGGTCAGGTTTAGGTTTAGGGTTATGGTCAGGGTTATGGTCAGGGTTAGTGTTAGGATTAGGGATAGGGTCAGGGTTAGGTGTAGGGCCAGGGTTAGGGTTATGGTTAGGGTTAGGATTATGACATCGTTTGTCTTCTGATTTTGTACAGACAGTAAAATTTCGTTTCCACCTCAGAAAGCTGCTAGTCACATGACCTAATCAAAATGGCCGACTGTAGGTTTTCTCCTCATAGGCCAAAGGAGCCGGCTCGTTTCGGGGGTCAGACGGGGTCGCTTGTCCTCATCTGACCGCCTCCCTCTCAGATTCAGTCCGGTTCTTTTTGCTTTTTCCCAGCTCTGTTGTAATAAAGATTGTTTACGTCTCAAAGCAGCACACAAACACAAAAGTGTCTCCGAAAGAGTTTGACCTTCCAGGCAAAAAAGCAAAAAGAGAGAGAGCTTCCTTTTGGATAATCCAGAAGCCCTTTGTGTCCCGCTGGGGAAAAGGCTCCATTCCAAAGCAAACACCTCCCCCTGTGTGGAGATAAAGGAGCCGGTGCTTATTAATATTACGACTCCCCACTCTGATCTCAGTTTGAAAGCAGAAATAAAAAAGCCAGACAGAGACTCGGATAAGAATAAAGTAGGAAGTTTTTCCGTTTTTATCCGGCCTCGGAACAACAAACAGTGAGATTGGTGGGTGTTGCTCGGCCATAGTGCATTGTTAACAGAGTGGCCCGGTTCCCCTTTTGGGACACGCCCACCTCCGATGGTCCCATCACCTGATGCTGACCCACTCCCAGAAGCCCTGTGAGGTGGTTTGAATCTATTCACAGTAGTTTGGCGCACGGATTTGTCTGATTTGCCTCCTAAAACTCTCCAAAAGGCATCATTGAGTGATCGTGAGCTATGAGTAGGGTTGTCACGATACTAAGATTTTCAACTCGATACCGATACTCAGGAAAAGGCTCGATACTCGATACCATTTTCGATACCAAAAGGATAAAAACAAAGACCCCAAAATGTAACTGAATTGTGTCTTTCATTTCAAACTGACCTGGTACTGATGATATCGTGACTGGTGGCCCACATTAATGACCCTAACCCTGACTCTGATCCTAACCCTAACACTGACCCTTACCCTAATACTAACCCTAACCCTGACCGTTACCCTAACCCTGACCCTAACCCTAACCCTGACCCCCCACCCTTCATAATTGTGAGAAATAAATATCTTTTGGTTAGACTTATTGTCCAAACCTATTTAACATCCACTATTTTAACATAATAATATGTATAGAGTTTAATAAAGTGTTTGCAAGATTAATTTAACTCTTGCCTGGGATCTTCCTATTGGTGATTTAATCAAAATGGCCGACTTGGATGTGGACGGAGTTGGATATGTACTTGATTAATGGTAGCATGTTATTAGTAGCCATTAGCCGCAGCTAGCAAGGCTAACGTCTTGTTAATGATCATAAACAACATAACAAAATACATAAATATTTATTTTATGTATCGCACGGTGGTATCGATACTTTGGAAAACAAGTATCTTATCCGGATACAACATTTTAGTATCGATATTTTTTTGAGTATCGATACTTTTGACAACCCTAGCTATGAGTGAATGGGGAATGTACAGTTCAGAGTGAAGGCTTTATTTTAGAAAACAGCTCTAAACCTTTTGGTTTTTCTGGAAAATCCAAATCCTTTAACCCCGTGCCGTCCGCTCTGACTTTAATTGGGGGGGTCTTTGATTAAAGCTAAGCTCCAAAATCAGGCTCTCGCCACATTTCCCAGTAACAAAACAACCAGCTATCGTTTTTAATTCCAAAACTGGGTTGAAATTTTACAAAAAGCAGCTGGTTCACATAAAAATAGCCGAGTCACGTTTAACCCTATAAAGCCAAATGTATCATATTTGATGCACACGGTTTCTGAAATGTTTTGCATAATTTAATGGTAAAAACATTGCTCAAAATCCTATTGTACACAATCAGATACACCTGATAACAGGGGGGAGAAGACTACACAAAAAATAATCTTGACTTATCGCATAGTAATAAATTATTAATATCAAAAATGTATTTCAGTTTTTTCTTTTTACATATTTTGTTCAAAGGGCAAATAAGGAATTCAAACCAAAAAAAAGTAATTTTCTGTTTTGTTTTCTTCTTGGATCAGGCTTTAAAGGGTTAAGGAAAACTCTTATTGAATGTGAAGTTTAAAATAAATACACGCATGCAGTTGCAAGTTGCTGGTTTTTGATCTAACAAAGCGGTACCTTAGTGGAATAATGTTAAGACTCATGGTTCTAAGGTCCTAAGCCATAAAAACTGTCCTTTAAACGTGTCTTCTAAGGTGTGCCAAACATAAAATGTGAGGCTTTTATAAAGACGTATAAAGAAATAAAGATAATGGGATTATTCCATCCCTCCAACACAGTTCATGTGGCTCATTGTGGGGCAGAACTGTAAAAAACATCTACCAGAACCCAAAACACAACATAGATTTGAATGACTTTAATCAGGAAACGAGTCATGTTTTGAGTTCAAGTCAAACCCCGCGTGATCGCACGATTCTTCCAATAAAAGGCCCGCTTTCTTTTGAACACCTAAAGTAAAC